AAATAGAACTGCCCGGTAAACCGTAGGCAGAGAGGGAGAAGAGGACAACAAACAAGGGGCTGTGACAAACTGTTTCGTCGGAGTTTCACCGACTCGTCAGGAGGCTGAATATATCGTCACAAACAGAACTGCCGGTAAAACCGTAGGCAGAGAGAGAGAAGAGGACAACAAACGAGTATATATATCGTCACAAACAGAACTGCCCGGTAAACCGTAGGCTATATTGTCACATATCTATCAACTAAAGGAGTGCGCTTTGCAAAACAAACAACGAAAATAGCAGACAGCATGAAGCACTCTGAAACCTTCCTTTCGCCTTTTCCTGTTCAGATACTTTTTTTTTTAATTAAAAAACAGGTCTTTATGGTCCTGGCTCTTTGTCGAAGTCGCCACTCATTGATTTTGAGAAACTCATCAACAAGGCAAGACATTTTATTCAGCCGGATACAGCTGCAAATAATTTGCGGTTTTCATACCCGCAGCAAACACACAAGATTTGTCACAAGAAGGCTAAGTCACACCTACGTTACACGACAGCCACACAGTCTTCTGAGGTCATGCCGCAAGAGGGCAACCTTGCTGCTACATCACAGTCTGATGGGAACTTTGTGGCAACAGCCCAATTCAAAGGGCAAGGCGTGCGCTTTATCTTCTTCAACTTCAGCTGGGACTGCACCAAAATCACAGGATCCATGCCCTACGGGCTAGCCTGACAGGCATACAGGTTTCACATCGCAAAAATGTTCTGCCAGTGGTGTAATAGTCCTTTTCATGCTTCAGCCAACTGCCAGGACAAGGGTTACATTACACAACGCATTCAACAGCAGCGCCAACCAGGGAATCTGAGTACTGCGGGGGATGATACGACAACATCTCCCACTCCATTGGACACCGCTTCAAAGCTGACAGTCCCTCTGCTTAGAATATGGGGAATCTCTGGACGTCGCCAATCCTCCATTATCTTCTGAGGATTGTTCTGTTCAGTCTGGTTGGCCCCCCCGTTGGACTTCCTCTCTTTGCCGAAGAACCCCCTACTTGTGTAGCCTCTTGTTCGACAGCTCAGCTCGTCCTAGTGCCGTATGCTTCCTCGGATGGTGCTGTAATTGTCTAAGTTGGACACCTCAGCCCCTCTGGAGGCCAGGGATATCGACTGGTCACCCCTTCCCCCTACAGGTCAGCTGCCAAAGCTACAGAACAACTTTGCAACCACATTTCCAGGAGTACCTGAGCGCTGCAGCACCGACCCTATCGACGGACATCAGGGTGACCCACCCTCAGCTATTATTCATCTGCATCCAAATCGCAAAAGCCACCTGCAACGCTCTGCTTGATTGTAGAGTTTCACAAGATTTCATCAACCTGACTTTTGTTACTGAGGCAGGCTTGTGGGATTGAGTACAAAGGAAGACATGGCCCACAGACGTGACCTTGGCAGCTGGCACGACATAAAAGTAGCTTGACCAATGCCTACACTCTGTGCCAGTTTACGTTGTGCCTCGCGCGTGGGAGACCTTTCACTTTGACATCCTTGATACTTCATTCGATATGATCTTAGGCATGCCTTGGCTTCAGAGTGAGGGGCATCAGGTGGACTTCCTTAATCGCGGCGTCATGGTGCACGACACGTTTGACAAGTGTATTCCACATTGTCTAGTTCTCCCTTACCCCTCTGTCTCTTGCCACATGAATTAGGCATCGAGTTTCCATACAACTTGCGTGAGCAAGCACCTTGTCGAGATCAATATTTTTTTTTTTCACGCGGTTTCGACACCAGATTCTTTGAGTTCGGGCAGTTCTTCATAGCCTTGAGTAATGCAGATTTTGGATCCTACACCAACGTGTTCGAGCCGCCTTCAAGATTTGCTGAGGACCACCCCATTCTCCATGAGATTCTCCTCCATGATGGGGCCACTCAACCGATGACATGTATTTACCGCATGACTGCCTAGGAGCTCGACGTCCTCCAAGCTCAACTGGACTATTTGCTTGCTAAGGGATGGATCATACTGGCAGCTCACCTTGCAATGCAATTGTTCTCTTCGTACGGAAGAAGAGACACGACCTTCGGCTTTGCATCGCTTACCTTAAGCTTACCACTCAAAAGGTTAAAAATGCAGGCCCTCTTCCGCGTATCGATGACTTGCTCGAGCGGACGGCATGCGCCCATTGCTTCCCGCAGCTGGGTTTAAAGTCAGGCTATCATCAGATTCACTTTCCCCCGCAAGATCGCTACACGACCGCAGTCAAGACGTGATATTGCCCAATGAGTGGGTTGTCATGCCTTGAGGCCTCACCAATGCCCTGGCCACATTCCAGGTTGCAATGGACAATGCGTTTCGCACCATGCTAAATCACTTCGTCCTCATCTGCCTGGATGATATTCTCATCTTTAGGCACACGTTTGACCTGCACTTGAAGCACTTACCCATAGTATTGGAGCTACTTTGCCAGCCCATGTACAAAGCAAAACATGACAAGAGTGAGTTCGCCACCCGGGAGCTCGAGTACCTAGGCCATTTTGTGATGCCTCACGGCATTCATCCTCTTGAGGACAAAATTCAGGGCATTCAGGACTGGCCTCTCACATCGCAGACTCAAGCTCCCATAGTTCTCATCATAATCACATGCAGATTCTGGCCACTGCTTCATTGCCACGCATTCCCATCACACTCGAGCTTGCCAAGGTCACACAAACCTTCGTATCATGGTACTCACGCACATAATCAATGTGAAAGACTCACAGTGTAACACAGCATCTGGTACTTGCATCATTGTCACACACACACACACTCTCATAGTCTGCATTCTGCATCCTGTCACTCCCTTGTGGTCTGTCTGACTGCCTCTCTCTCTCTCTCTCTCTCTCTCTCTCTCTCTCTCTCTCTCTCTCTATATATATATATATATATATATATATATATATATCGTCAAATAGAACTGCCCGGTAAACCGTAGGCAGAGAGGGAGAAGAGGACAACAAATGAGGGG